TGCAAAGTTTCGCAGCCTACAAAATATTCTCATCAAATTTTTTTGATAATCGGCAATTCTTGTATTTGTAGTACTATTAGAGGACTCCTGAAAAAAATTGTTTAGCACTCGTACATTTTAACGTCATTTTTAATCAATCAACTTCCTATTCATGTAGACCATCACTAAATGTTCTCTTAGCGTTTTTCATTCTGAAAGATCCTTCTTTTGTCACTGTTTATGGTGTCAATATTCTATGACAGACAACATGTTTGAAAGGGTCATACTTTGTATTGAAGATATTTCAAAGTTGTGTTTAAGTCGACAAATGTACATTTGAAACCATTTACTCTAAGTAATAATGTAAAAGTAATAAAGTAACGTACTTTAATATAAAGTCGTCAGTTCAGCGTGTTCAGCCGATTCCGTAAGCTACGTACATCTCCGGATTCGTGATTATTCATCTGTAAACCCCTCAAGAGGCATTTTTCTTGTAGAAAACCCTTAACCTGTATCGAAAACTTCAGAGATAGTCCGGAGAAGTGATTATAAATAGCAAAGGAGGACACCTGACGACTATACATACACCTTTATTTAAGGTCGTCAATGAAAAGCATACAAAGTCGTCAGATGAATATAAAGTCGTCATACAATTCGTTTTTTAAAAAATGCCAGTTTTAATTAAACTACATGTAGGCCTATACCAATTATTACATTAACATAATTAGTTTAACATGCTAGATTACTAACATTTTTGAGAAACTATTGAAAATAAACATGATAACATACAACAAGTACAATGTACATGTAATTATGTCAGTGAAAAAGAAAAATTATACGAACATTTGCGATTAAAGAAACTTAAAGACACAACAGCTTTAAAGCTTTAACAGTAAATGACAATGAAAAAACCATGATGGCAACATACATCAGAAAAAAACAAGCTATTAAAAACATTTTCAACGTAAATAAATGCACGGAGTATACTTATAGATTAATTTGCGTATTTACTGTATGCAGATATTCCGTATTTATTTTTGTGACTTAAGGTTCATACTGATAACATGAATACATGGATGGTTTTCAGCCTTATTGGTAAGTTCCCTGATGAACTCTTCTGGACACTGAAATGCAACGACACTTAACTGCTCAGGGCCCGTCCGTCTACTCCTTACTCGTGCATTTTCAAGCGGCTTAAGAAAGTACTTAGACGTTGCCCTGTTTTCCTGCATTAAACAAAACAAAGCCTTAGCACAATCCCGTTTGAGATTGGCAACTTTAATATTGCCATCATACACAGCGACTGCAGTTTCGTCATATGGATTATTTGGCTCAATTTCAATTCTGTAATATGATCCAACGCTTAACTGCTTTTCTCCGTAGTGATGCATGCCTACCACCATGACATTTCGAACGACTAAGCGTTTCATCATTTTGACCTGAAGATAAAACAATTACAAATCTTTAAAAAATGTGAACAATAACGAAGCAAATCTATTCGTCTGGAATGGTTTCATTAGTTTTCAGTTCGATTTTTGCCTGTTTTTTTATTTTGCGTTCATTTTTCATACGTTCTTTTTCAGCTTTTGTTTTCTCTCTCAGTTCTTTCTTTATTTTCATTTCTTCCTTACGTTTTGCATCAGCAGCCTCTTTCTCCATTTTTCGTTTTACTCTATCAAGCTTTCTTTGCTGCTTCGCCTTCTCTTCTTCTTCCCGCCTTTTTTCTTGTGCCTCTACTTCCTGTTGAACTTCAGTGCTTGTTAACACCCTAGCTTTTGAAGTTTTCTTGTTTATCCTTGTTTTTGATATAGGAGTGCTAGTCTTAGGGACGACCAGAATATCAACAAGATCTGGTGATATTAATCCGGCACGCACTAAAGGATGGATTGGAGCGGAATCAGTAACATCTTTGAATGGAGGTGCTTTTGAAGTCTGGACAGTGCCCGTTTTGCTAGGAAGAGGGAAAGATGTGCTGGTTGCCAATGACGTTTTTTCTATCGGAGTTTCGGTTTTCAGGGATTTCCAAGTGTGAAATACTTTGTCATTTGGCAGATCAATACCAAGCTGAAATGCTTCGTTATATCTCCTTTTCTTCTTGGGTGTCAAGCTTAACTCAACTGCAGAAAGGGCTAATTCTGGCGGACATTCCTGCACAAAGACAGCCTTATTATCTGCAATAGACATTGATTCAGCGTTGTGAAGTATACCTTCGGCGTCAACAGTGAAACTCAGTTCTGGGAAAATCGGCATATACTCATCTGTTGATGTACCGGATGTGTTATTGTTTTCGGACACCGTACTTAGGTCAATGGCTGACGCAATGTACTTATTCCCATCAAAATCAACTTCATTTGATGCTTGTTGCACGGAGAGAACAGGCGAAATCTGGGTCGGCAAAACATACGATTCTTCAGGTATAAGAGTCACATTCTTTTCTAGTGAGGGACCGGGTGAAGTATGAGCACATGAAGCAGGTGGTAAACTAACGAAACTATCATGCTCAGGATAGCATTTAGCTGATAGGTCAATGGCTTCTATGTCAGTTTCTGCGCTTGATCTTAGAAGAAGGGATTTATCAATAGCATTTGGGTTGAAGGGATAAATGCCACATTTACGAAAGCCCTCTGTGATACATGACATTGTAAAACTAGCTTCAAATATAAGTTTAAACATGGCACTGACATTTTTCTTAGCGACCCATAAGTCCGATTTAATCATTTTTGCAGAGTTCATGAGTTTAGAGGTTTCAATTTTCATCTTACGGAATACAGCAACGTCCAGTGGTTGGGTTATGTGGGTAGTTTTGGACGGAAGGGAAAGCATAATGACGTCGTTTGCAATGGCAGATCGAATAAGCGGGCCACTCATGTGACAAGTTGCGCCATCTTGAATAAGAAGCAGCGGGCGGTCTTTAACTGCATGGGGGATGAACGTTTTCTCAAACCACTGTTTATAGAGTCTTTGGTCCATGAAACCGCTTTCGGAGAACGTGTAACTGGCATTTATTGGCCCTTGACGGTGATAAGGCCCACCAGGCAAGCTCTTGCTAAATATAATCATAGGCGGTATTGCTGTCCCTGCAGCGTTTACACAGCAGTGGACCGTTATATGCTCATTGGTGGCGACAGACAAAGAATGTGCATGTTTATTTCGGGCTGGAACAATTACCTTCTGTCCTGCCGACTTATTAAGGAACAGGGCCGCCTCATCACAATTGTAAATACATTGGGGCTTTGACATGAGACCACTATTTTCAAGTGTATCTTTAAGCAAGGAGAAGTACTCCTGTAACGCCTCAACATTTGATTTAGTTGCGCGACCTCTGTCCAATGGATCAGGGATTCTAGTGCCAAGCCCCGGATTTCTCTCTTTAAAACCTTTCCACCAAATACGGGAAGGGCCGTTTTGACTAAAGACTTCGCTTTTACCTTTTTCTTCGGCAATACACCAAGCAAACCCTAAAATTTGTTGAATGGTCATGGGAAACCCGCGATTTGCCATATATTCTATATAATGGAATAACGAAGTTTCTTCCTCGTTAGTTAATGCAGGTTTGACTCCCATTTTAGCTTCTAATTGTACTTTTCCATTTACCCTATCTGAAAGAGTCATTCTTGGGACATTATATGCCCTGGACGCTGCTGAAATGCTCATCGTCCCTGCTTTAACAGCGTTGAACGCATGTGTCATGTTTTCTTCACTCCAGTTTTTTAGTTTTTCCGGTCTGCCCTTTTTACTGGTCATTTCTGAAATTTATGCATGATGTACCTTTAAACTTTGAATTCAAGTTTCTGTATTATTTTTCTTCTAAGTATCTTTGGTATAAGTTAAACAAAATGGAATTAATTAAACATGTACATCTTTTTTTATTTATGGTACTTTTTTACGCATTGGTTGGATTATCAAAACAACGCATATTTTTTTTTGTATTTGGCCTGCCTTAGAATCGCAAACATACATGTAATTATGCACATATAAAGACCTTCGACATTACAGTAAAGATATTCGCACTTGTAACGTTTTGTTTATAAGTTTTATTGCATGGAAATATGTAAGACGTTAATGTTTCGAGACGGTTAAAATATTTGTTGTTTCCGTATACTATTTAAATCTGTATACATGTGTGATGAGAACATGGCAAGTGTTATCATAACCGAGTTATGTTGCACTGGTCATTTCGTGCCCTTTACCAATATGTTAGTGATATGATTTTAAACATCGATTTTGTGTTGACGCTTTCAAGCTAGATCGTTGCAATCAGGTGACCACTTGTGGTTAAAATAATGCGCAGAGAGTATCAAATGTCTTGCTCAACCGGCAAATTGGAAAGTCGCTATATGAGCATGAATATAACTCCCAAAACAACAATAAATGGGGAATAGATATTAGACATAATCGTATATATATTACGCAAAAGCTGGCAGTATATGCTAAAACAAAACTTATAGCACCTATAATCCACCTATCATACCGAACTGACACTAAAATTGTAAGAAATCTTAAAATAATTTTGATTTGCAAATGCGAAATGGCTAAGACTGATTGAATCTTTCGGGATAATTCAGTTGGATTTTATCATACAACCCAGTAAAATGTATATAAAGTCGGCTGATATTAGAAAAATAATAGTATAAATATTAAAAGCTAATGAGACAAATGAAAATTTTAAAAGGAATACACTGCATTACCTTCATAACAAAAGAAAGAAATACACTTTACAAGTTTTTTATTGTTATTTTATTGTCAAATCATTAAACAAATTAAAACTTGTATTAGTTACTCTAATGTCACAAATGTATTATTTTCACATCTTTGATTTAAAATTTTAAAATGAAATATATTGTATCTTCATGCGTAAATTACTAAATCAAGATACACTGAACAAGTTATTTCGGTAAGATTAGTTAAATAGATATTAATTGTTCATCTGAATATAATAAAAGCAAAAATACACGATTTTAACGAATTAATATTCCACTTAATGTAGTGCATTCGTGCCCGTGGAGATTCATTGCATGGAATTATGCCTTAGCGGAAACAACATCATTTGCTTTCAACTCCACAATGATAGTTTGACTGGTCATTCCATGCCTTGAAGGTACACCCTTTTCATTCAGACGTGCTTTCAATGAGTTGTTTACATCAATACTAGCCCAAAACTCTTCGTCATTCCAAGATCGGAGACTACAAGACAATACATAATAGCCGGCGACAGGGGCGACAAATTTACCAGATGCACTGTTATATCCGTTCCCTACATTAGTTATTATGGAATTGAAGACAATGATTTGGTTTTGAGGTATATGTATCTTTTGCTCCTTAACATATGCTGAGAATGCAATTATTGGCTTTGTCAGTCCTATTTCAGCAGTTTCTGAAAAGAAAAAAGAGTTAAAAAAACAAGATTAAAATAATAGACGGCTAAATAAATTAAGCACTACGCTTTGCAAGGTTGTTTGTTGTTAACAATATCACCTACAAACGAGATCAATGTCATTGCCTGCCAACATATGTACAATTAAATTTTCCCGACATAATTTATAAAATTCCTTGCTGTATTGCCATTATGGGAAGATGATTCCTAAGGTCGTTATATAGAGACGTAAATAACTTTTGTTCAGCTTCATAATCAAACATTATATGAAATTACCTTTTAATACATCATCAATTTTTCCGTTAACAATTTTCAACGCATCATCAACTTCTGCTATTTTGTCATCAAATTTGTTTACCACTTTATCCTCAAGAAATCTGTTAACTGCTGCTGTTTTGTTTTCCATCACAACTACAAAAATATCTCGAAGATTTTTGTTGTCATTTGCAAACTTCTCCATTTCTTTCTTCTGAGCGTCAAGCATTGTTACAATATCTTCGTTTCTCTTCTTGGCGTCTTGTTCCAATTTTTCAACTTTGAGTTCCATATTAAGCATGTTTGCAATAATTTCTTTTTCATACGAAAATTTTGAGCACATTTCTTCAGTTGCCACCGACAAATGTACCATACTAGCAGCTATGAAAACAGAAGCAAAGATCATAAGTCCGACCATTTTAGCGTCTTTGTATAGAATGAACTATTTCTTCTCTTTACAAGCAATGTTCTAGTTAAATGTTAAATATGAAACCGACAGAATGAAAATAATTTTTTTTAAATTGTTATTTGTTCTATTCTACCTTTGTTACAACTAATATAAAGTAGGAGTTAACACGTAAGAAAGAAACAAAAGAACGATGAAAAGATATCATAAGGCTTCACTTTGATTCAGAAGCGTTGAAACAAAATTGGTAAAAAAAAACGTGAAAACTTTCTTCTTGCTACTGGTATATTTCTTTTTATAGGCAATAATAAATGTAAAATGTTGCCGACTGTTATTCTTTACCACTATGAACAACATTCAGAAGTTGTTGACTTTACCTTAGAAGATTTTAAGAAAAGTAAAAAAAAAGTATTAATTAACATGTTATGTTCGATTAATGACTTATTTTGAAGTATTTATCACCATATTTGTTTTACGTTAGTAACGCAGTAAGGGCTATTTTTGCATATGTTGACTCATATTGGTCATTTACATGGATTATTAGTGCCATTAAAAACTTGTGATGTGAAAATTACTTTCATTTGTTTACATCACAATATTTGAGTTTTAAACACATTTTCAAAATTTTCATGAAAATAAGCATGATTCTGGAGACAAGCTGCTTTAATACTTCATAAAAACTATACATTTGTATATTTATATAATAACGATTACATGTATATAGGTTAAGGATCCAGCATTATTTGTCAAAGGGAGCAGACATCCATCATAAATATGTTTGTGAATTTTTAAGGTACCAGGTTATTAAGATTAATACAATTGTCCGATTTACAAAAATATCTGGTGCTTCAAAAACGGTCAGTAGTTTAGATAAATTTTTGGACAGCCGCAAATACTTGTTCATTTTTGTTAACATCTAACAAATTGCTACCCCACAGTTATAGATCAACATTAAGTGGTTGAAAAATTCTGGTTTCTGTGAAGAGTATGAGTATTTGAGGTTTAAATATCGACAGCAAAATAGAAAGTGCTCGGCATCCTTACAAAAGTGGCCACATGTAGAAGTCTGGCGCAGATATCTCATATAAACCATTAAGTCATTAAGTACTATGGTGGCTTTAAATTTTTTCTTTCATTCTTGATTTTAAAATATTCTATGATTTGATTTCGCGAATTTAGGTGTCTAATATATTCCATAATTCAGTTGCAGAAGGTATAAATGTTTTTGTACGTTTCGGTGCTTCTAGCTATAGTTGTTTAATTGCTGTTGTTTCTTTCCGAGTATTTATTGTTTCTGAAACTAGCGATGGAAAAATATGTTTTCAAGGCATTGTGGAAGAAGACAATTTTTGGCTTCCAAAACCGTAACTAATCTTTTGTATTTTACGCCTATCTGAGAGGGAGACCCACCCACATTTTGTCAAAGCGGATTGATTGATACCGATCCCGTTAGGCCAGTTTCTATGCGTACTACCGCAAACTGAAGTTGTTCAAGTGATTGTTTTTCGTTCATTGTACATCCGTCCCACTCAACGGATGCATATTCTAAAATTGGACGCAAGTAGATTTTAATAAGAGTTGGGCGTTTAAGGCTCGCATGGTACTCAAAACTTTAGAGGCTGTTGAATTAATGTTACCAATACGCTCATGCCATTTTAAATCTGTTGAAAAGCTATACTGAAGTGTTTGTGATGATCTACAAAATCAGGAACAGTATCATTAAAAAGGAGAGTAGGCTCGTCGGATGTAGTTGATGAAAAAAATACATAACTTCCGTTTAATACGGATTTAAGCTTGCAAAACATTGTTTTGACCACTCCGCTTTGTCATAAATAAAAGAGTTCACTGCTGCCGTTTTGTTTTCACAACTACAGGAATATCTCGAAGATTTTTCTTATCATTTGCAAATTTCTCCCTTTCCTTTCTCTGAGTGTTTCGCATTGTTACAATATATTCGTTTCTTTACTTGACTTATTGTTTAATTTTTCAACTTTAAGCATATTTGCAATGATTTCCTTTTCAAACGAAAATTTTGAGCACATTTCTTCAGTTGTTACCGAAAGATGTACTATATAAGAAGCTATGAATGAAAACAGAAGCAAAGATCATAAGTCCGCCATATTAGCGTCTTGATATAGAATGAACAGTTTCATCTCTTTACAAGCATGTTCTCTTGTTTAATACGAAACCGACATAATAAAAAAAAATCTGTTTGAAAATGATTTTTAGACTATTCTATTCGTTACAATGCACACATATTATGCAGACTATAAAATAGGTTAAGATTTGTTAAGAGAGAGGTTATCAATCAAATATACCTACTCTGTTACTACTGGGTAGGATCATAAATTTTCGTCGTGAGCGGGGAGGGCTTATACTTGAAATGACCAAACTCCCCATTTGAAGTGGTTGGTTGGGTCTGGGGAGCTTCCATCTGAAAAACATGAAATTTACGTGTTAAATGGGTGAATTTTAGATGTACATTTTGAAACTGAAGTGTTTTCATATTTTTCACAGAAATAGCATTATATGTTTGCAAAAGTGAAGAAAACACTAAATCTAGGGAAAACTATGATTTTAAAGATTTTATCTAGAGGGTAAGATGCCCCTAAATGGTTCTTCTATTGGCAGGAAAACCCTGATTATGTATGACATAAACCCTAAAAATATAATTAACATAAGAAATGCTTTTTTATTAAAATTTGCATCCCTTGCGCTTCAGTATTTATGGAGACTTTGATTTAAACATATTTTATTGCCAAAAAAGACATATACATACAGTTACAATACAATGACACTACATATTTGGCAAAAGGGTTGTATGTAAATTAAAGAGTTAAAAGTAGCACATTCAAGGGGGCTATTTATAACTTACAAATACATGGATTTAGATGTTCTAAGAGTAAGTGGCTCTTTTCTTATGCTAATTTACTCAGTCTCATGTAGACGCTTAAACTGCTTTACACTGACCAAAGGTTATCTACATATACTTAGTGTTTGCATGTTTGTATAGTCTAAGTCTAAGTATCTGACAATGTGCTGATAATTTACCTCCATGCAATTTCTACGCGGTATTAGCCAGATGTAAATTTTGAGCCAAAAGTAGGTCACTTTACGGCAGTCAATGAGAACCGAACTTTACAGTATAAAAGGATGTAGCCCTTAAAAGGGCTGTTAGTGCCAAGCAAAGGGTCTGCCTTACAAGCCGTCTTTCTGTGCTAGGGGCTCACGCACCATAATATACCATCCTCGTCGTCTGTGCCTACATCGTAAGGCCTCTCTCCCTTTGCCTTTAGTCAGGACATTGGCAGTTGGTCCCAGTTGTTGACAAAGTAGCAATCCCGATAACGGGCAGGGTAATTTAAGTTTACTTCCCGTCAAGCAGCAAATATTTTGTCAATGTCCCTAAAAATCTCAGCGGCGTACACGCACCGAGAGAAGAAATCACATAAATAAATTGTAAATTCAATTTCATTTCCTTATTTAAATGTTCAGTTTGAGACATATCTTTGTATTATAGCCAAAAGTACTTAAATATCTTGGTTAACAAAGACTACGGATCGAATTTGTCTAGAATATAGATCGAAGTCCAGTATGACAGAATTCATGATGCCGGAAAAAAAAACAGATTTGTGTCGAAGCTTTCATTTTGCTAATATTTTTTTTAATGCTATTCAACGGTTTGAAATAATATTAAAATCAAATAAATAAACATTACCCGATTTCAATGTTTTCATTACTTGTTTTGGCGTATTTTTTATTATTAATAGTTCGCTGAATAAATAGATTTATGCATATTATAAAGAATTATGCCACTCATGAAAAAACTGTCTTTGAAACTAAATCGCAGGATCATGTACTACGATTGTTTCGTCTTACGGCCCTGATATATTGTTCTCTTTCAAGTTGTTTTTTATGTCTCACAATTTATGTTAAAATAGAGTGAAATAAGAACCCCTAAACAAAGCCCAACTCGGCGAAATTGAAAATGCTGCAGGCTCAGTTTGATTGAGCCTATTCATTGACGGTACTGTCAAGTGCAAACTACCGTCCACGCCCCCTAGTACCGGCTTAAGCAGAATTCAACATTTAACATGAACTGGTAAAATTTAGAATTTTGAAACATCCGCAGATTAAGTCGCCAATCTCTTGAAATATCAGGTACTGTTTACATTAATATATCCGAAAGTGAAGGGGGATAAATCGGTCGTAAAATTTTACAGAGTACTTACTTCTACACAGTACACACTACTTTTTAGTTGCTTTGACATGCCTATACGTGTAATTGACACTTTTTTAAAAATGAAGGAAATTGAATCATATATCAAATATCTTAACTAATTACCGTGAAAATACTGCAGTTTAGATGCCTTGTCTGATCATCGATAAACTAGGACTACAATCAAACTAGTCAAACTTTCAAACTACAATCTCATTGATGAAAATAGTGCTTGTTTGCGGAGGACTCGTTATTTTGAAAACTATTTCAGTCTCCACAAAAAGATACTTTAGCACACATTTTGCACAAGTTATTTCATTATGTTTTACTGCTATTTTTGTTGTATATTAAAAAAAAACTCTTATTTTATATATAATTTGTTGTTCTACTTTTTTGTTAACGGCTTTCATTAATAATAGCCATGTTTGGCTGTACTTCGGATGGGACGAAGTATAATAAAGTAGTTCAATTATTACGACGTTTTCTCGTATTTATGATATGCATGTGTTTATTTTTTATCAGTGAGATAACTAACAGTCTTTGCAATAAAACTGGAACATAAACGCTTTTTACATATTCCGACATTATGTGCGTGCTTAAAATGATTAAATCTTGTACTATTTGTTAAGATGTTATTCGGTTGGAGCCATTTTTCGATTGTAGACGTCGAAATCCCATGTGTAGATGACAAGCTATGCACGCGCATGAGGACACGTCCGTCGCAAAAATGTTAAGAACGTTCGAATGCGTATGGTTTTATTTCACTTAACATAATTGTATAATCTATAACATAAACATCAATTAAGTGCTCATAGTCACACAAAAGCACACTTATCGTAATGTATAGTTCAACTTGCAAGTTTATTGACAAAATCAGGGGGAAAACAATTCCCTTTGGCTATCTTTAAAAATATTCATATGAAGTACGGCTAAGACAAGCAATACCATTGACAATAATATTAAACAAAGATTATTATCATAATTAGCTTTTATTTAACAACTTTAATTTCAAGAGTATTTGTTTTGTATTTCAAAAACCTTCCTTAACCTATTTTGATAGTTTTAACATGTTTTTCTTATTTTTCAAAGACATCAGGGCCTTGAACAATTTTAGTTTTGGCCAAGAAAAAATGCCCTGTTTAAGAATTACTAGTTACAGAATATTTAGAACAGCAATGACAAATTCATATTCTGTTTTGATAACAATTTGATTGCACATTTTTAACAAACAAAAGAAAAACACATGAAGCTATTTACACTTATGGCGTTGCTAAATCATTAAACAGGTGAAAAAAGAGATATTTGTTGCGTTTTCGTCACAAATGTAAACTTTTCCTCACATCTGTTGAAATGAAATATGTTGTATGTTACGTCTCTCAATTGATATGATTTAGTTAAAAAAGAAACACCTATAGTTGCAAACATAATAAGTCGGTAAAATTAATGAAATATTAACTATTCATCTGAATATTTGAAAAGCCACAATGTACGATATTAACGGATTAAAACTCCATTAAAATTAGAATATCTGTGCCCGTGAATATTAATTGCGTTGCCATGTGTCTTAACAGATACAACATCATTTGCTTTCAACTGGACAATGATTGTTTGACTCGCCATTCCATACCTTAAATCTGTACCCCCTTTCATACAGATGTGCTTTCCTGGAGTTGTTTACATCAATGCTAGCCGAAAACTCTTCACCAGGCCATGATAAGAGACTACAAGACAATAAATAGTAGCCGTCAACAGGGGCAACAAATTTACCAGATGCATTGTTATATCCGTTTCCTACATTAGTTTTTATCAAATCGAAGACAATGATTTGGTTTCGAGGTATATGTAACTTTTGCTCCTTTACAAATGCTGAAAATGCAATGATTGGCTTTGTCAGTCTGTTTTCAGCAGCTTCTAAAAGAAAAAAATTAAAACAAGATTTAAAAAATATATGCGCAACGCTTAGCACAGTTTTTTTTGTTGATTAACAATATCAACTATAAACGAGCTCAATGCCACTTGTCATTGACTGCCAATCGCAGTCATATAAAAACATATGTAAAGTCACTGTTTTTAATGAAATTTTCTTTAGTTACAGTTATCATTAATTGATATGCATATGCTATTAAAGTTTCCTAACATAAGTTATGGAATTCCTTTCCTACAGTCCTGCATTCAGATACAAAAATGTTTGCTGTGTTGCCATTATGAGATAATTCCTTAGATCTTTATATAGAGAGGTAAATAACTTTTGTTAAGCTTCATAATGAAACATTATAATATGTAATTACCTTTTAATACATCCTCAAACTTTCCGGTAACTGTTTTCAAAACGTTATCAACTTCTGCTATTTTGTCGTCTAATACGTTTACCGCTTTGTTCTTTAGAAAAGAGTTAACTGCTGCCGTTTTGTTTTCCATCACAACTACAAGAATATCTCGAAGATTTTTGTAATCATTTGCAAACTTCTCCATTTCCTTCCTCTGATCGTCAAGCATTGTTACAATATCTTCGTTTCTATTCTTGACGTCTTGTTCCATTTTTTCAACTTTGAGTTCCATTTTAAGCATGTTTGTAATAATTTCTTTTTCATACGAAAATTTTGAGCACATTTCTTCAGTTGCCACCGAAAAATATACCATACTAGCAGCTATCAAAACAGAAGCAAAAATCATAAGTCTGGCCATATTAGCGTCTTTTTGTAGAATGAACTATTTCTTCTTTACAAAGCAATGTACTATTTAAATGTTTAATACGAAACCGACAGAAGGAAAATATTGTATTTTTAAAATAATTGTTCTTTGTTCCATTCTGTCTTCATTACAACTTATATAAAGTAGTTATTTACATGTAAGAAAAAACAAAAGAACGATGAAAAGATATCGTAAGGCGTCACTTAAGACACAATTAAACTTATTCAGAAGAGTTAAAACAAAATGGGTGAAAAGACGTGAAAACTTCCTTCTTGCTACTGTGATATTTCTTTAATTTTAAATGTGAAATACTGTCGACTGTCATTCTTTATCATTATATCATTCTGAAGTTGTTGACTTTACCTAAGAAGATATTTAGAAAAGTAAAAATATTCAAGTAATAATTGATATGCTATGTGCGATAAATGACTTATTTTGCAGTATTTATCACCATATTTGTTCTGCTTTAGTAACGCATATTATGCATATATTGCATTTACATGGATAACTTGTGCCATTCAAATTTTGTAATGTGTAAATTACCTTCCTTTGTTTACATTATAATATTTTATTTTTAAATACAGTTTCAAAATTTTCATGAGAATTAGCATGAATCAGTTCATTTCTAAAGTTTTAATTTTTAATAACAAAATTGATCATATCGTTATAAAACTGTTATATCAGTGATATCTATCACTGAATACATGAAAATATGTATGTATTAAATATTTGATAAACTTCACATTAAATAATCAATTTCCATTTAATAATCTTTTATAATATTTTGTCTTTTTATAACACTATTGAAAAGCTATAAAATTATTTTCATAAAAGACAAAGAATGTAATTGTGCAGTATTATACAATCGTGATAAAGATTTTATCATTATATACGTTCTATGCGATGAACGATAAGTTCTAGTCATATTCTATTGCTAATATATACATATAAGTGTACAGAGAAACAAATTGATTTCGAAATAACAAATAACAAAAGGGTTGGACCAAAGTTCTTGCGACATAAGCGATCGGCCCTCCCCTGAAAAAAATTGTATTAATCAACATATTAGCGTCTTTATGTAGAATAAACAATTTCATTTCTTTACAAGTATCTTCTCTTTAATTGTTTAATACGAAACCGATAGAAGAAAAAATTTTGCACTGACCAAAGGTTATCTACATGTACGTAGTGTCTGCATGTATGTATAGTCTAAGTCATATTCGGTCTAATTATGTCGACAAATTGCAAATTGAACTGAAATAATTTTAGGACAGGAAGCTCAACTGAGGTCCTGGTTCCAATAAATAAGGACTTAAATTAATCTAATATTTTACTCTCTATTTGCCTTTTTGATAGAATAAAATCAAGCCAGGCTTTATGGGGGCTTCAACCTCTTGTCCCCCAGTGAATCCATGCCTGTTATTATCACATAAGTATTTTAAATATGGAAAAATCACAAGAACATAGTCTGTGTTTAATGGTTTAATGAGTGTCCATCCGACCGTTATGGCACAAAAAGCAGCTTTTCCTGTCGAGTACGGACTTTGGACATGTCACCAGCCATGCCCTTCAAGAGTTAATTTTGAAGCACAAAGTGGTGATAATTTACCTTCATGCAATTTTCTCGGAGCATTAGCCAAAGATGTAAATTTTGAGTCAAAAGTAGGTCACTGTACGGCGGTCAATTAAAATCGAAATGTACAGTAACCAAAATGAAAGGATGTAGCCCTTAAAATTGCTGTTGGTGCCAAGCAAAGGGCCTGCCTTACAAGCCGTCTTTCTATGCTCTGGGCTCACACAAGCTTCCATCCTGGTCGTCATTGCCTACATCGTAAGGCTACTCCCCTTGGTTTTTAGTCAGGACCTTGGCAGTTGGTCCCCAGTTGTTGACAAAGTAGCAATACCGATAACGGGTAGGGTAATTTAGATTTAGTACCCGCCAAGCCGCAAATCTTCTGTCGATGCCACGTACTTTCTCAGCGGCGTACACGCACCGAGAAAAGAAATCATATCGATGAGGTACAAACTGTGACGTCAAACAGTTAAATTCAGTATCGGCGAAATAGTGTTTACGCAAGTTAACATAATTATGTCGCGGGATTTTCCGAGATTTGATACATCCTTGGTAAAAGTAGCCAAAATACCGCCATATTGAATTCCCGGAGGTACATCGACAAAAAAGACGAAGCATTTTCTACTTATATAAGAAGCAATAATGAATTATTCTAAAACGTACAATACACATTTTTTCACACAAATATCTCTCCGTCGGCAATGTAAACAATAATTCACGGATATCACCGAAGTTAAACGAGAGACTAGTGGGTATCACCGAAGCGCGCAAAGGGTTGTGGGTCTGAATCTGGCTATCGTCTATTTTCGGAGCTTTTATCTGTGATTTAAATGTTCAATTTGAGACATATCTTAGTCTATAGCTAAACAGTACTTAGATATCTTGGTTAATAAAGTGTACAGGTACAGATTGAATTTATCTAGAATATAGATCGAAGTTCAGTATGACAGAATTCATGATGCCGAAAAAAGCAGATTTGTGTCGAAGCTTTCATTTCGCTCATAATGTTTTTTAATGTTATTCAACGGTTTGAAATAATATTTAAATCAAAGAAATAAATATTACCCCGATTTCAATATTTAATTACTTGTATGGGCAGTATCTTTATTGTGAATAGTTCTCTAAATAAATGGTTAATGCATGTTTTAAAGAATTGTGCCACTTGTGAAAAACTATCTTTGAAACCAAATCTTAGGATAATGTATTACGATTGTTTCGACTTTGTTCTCTTTCAAGGCTTTTTTCCACAATTTATGTTATTTTGCAAATCTCCGGAAGTATCAGCTACTGTTTACATTAATATATTCGAATATAAACGGGGATAACTCGGTCGTACAATTTTACATAGTACATACTTCTTCATAGTACATAGCACTTTTAAGTTGCTTTGACACATGCGTAATCGTATAATTTTCACCTTTTTGTAAATGAAGAAAATTGAATATATATCAAATATCTAAACACATTTTGGCATGAAAATACTGCAGTTTAGATGCTTGGTTTTATCATCGATAAACTTGGTCAGAAACTACAATCTCATTGATAAAAAAGTGCTTCTAACTGGAGGACTCGTTATTTTGAAAATCATTTCAGTCATGACAAAAAGATATTTTAGCACTTATTTTCTTCTGATGTTACTGCTATTTGTGTTCTATATTAAAATGTACCCTGATTTCATATATAAGTTGTCGTTCTACTTTTTGCTTACGGCTTTCATTCATAAAACCGTGTTTGGCTGACCTTCGGATGCGACGAAGTAGGACAAAGTAGTGCAATTACGACGTTTTCCCTATATGATATTCATTTGTTTATTCTATGTAATAGAAAGAGCACCGAAACACGAGGTTATCTTATTTGTACGAGGGGGGCGTAGCCCCCCAAGTATTAATCAGATTACCGAGTGTTTTGGTGTTCTTTCTCTTTTGTATCATAGTCAAACATAAAAACACGTTCCCTGTTGTTACAATATGAAACCCCGGCAAAAATGAACCAATGAACGAGCATCTAAATATGACATTTCTGTCGATTTCACTTTCACTGCCGTCACAATATGTAAACCCCAGCAAAAATGAGCCAATCAATGGGCATGCTCTGGAGTGCGGGTAACTAATACCCGCACTCCAGTTAACGCACTGTGCATGTATATGTATACGGTTTAACCCTGACACATTTTCAACAGAAAGGTCTCCAAACTATGATACAACAGTCACATAACTAACAGTCTTTACAACTAAATTGGAATATAAACGCTTTCAACATATTCCGACATTAAATGCTTAAATCTTGTACTATTTGTTAAGATGTTATTCGATTTGAGAGCCACTTTTCGATTGTAGACGTCGAAATCCCGTGGGTAGATGACATAGCTCGCATCCGTCGCAAAAATGTTAAGAACGTACAAATGCGTATGGTTTAATCTCACCTAGCAATGTTGTATTATATATGACATAAATATCAATTAAGTGCTCACAGTCACACAAAACACACATTGTTCAACTTTCAAGTTTATTGCCAAAATCAGAGAGAAAAATAATTCTCTTTAGCCATCTACAAACATATTCATATGAAGTATAGCTAAGACAAGCAGTACTGTTAACAATGATATTAAACAAAAATTATTATAATACACTTTTATTTAGTAGCTTTAATTTCAAGAGTATTTGTTTTGTATTTCAAAACTTTCCTTAACATATTTGGAAAGTTTTAATATTTTTGATATCAGGGCATTGAACATTTTAGTTTTGGCAAAAATGTCCTTTATAAGAATAACTAGTAACAGAATATTTAGAATATCAAAGTAAAAATTGATACTTTATTTTGATAACGTTTTGATTGCACATTTTTAATAAACGAAAGAAAAACCCCTGAAGCTATTCATATTTATGACATTGCTTAATCGTTAAACTGATGAGAAAATGATATGTGTTGCATTTTCGTCACGAATGTAACATTTTCCTTACATTTGTTTATATGAAAAATGTTGTATTTTAAATGTCTGTGACGCGACGTCAGATCATGGGGCAAACTGCACTTTTTGCTGTAATACAATATCTTGAAGTGTTGTTTTTCCAGGAACTATTTTATAAAATAATAAAAATTATATATCAACATAAAGGAAAATTTTCACCTGACAAAATTTTTATCATTATGATTCGCCGTTCATTGATGCATAATTTTGTCATAGCAAAATACAACATCAAACGATACCAAAATCGCATGTAGAGATGTAACGAAAATGTCTGAGTAACAGAAGATTATACTTACATTTTGCCAGAAACTGACGCCAAAAAGTTTTAAAATTCATACTGACGTTGACGTCATCATTTACGCAGATGATGTCATTTGAATTAACGTTTAACGTTTGAAAAGTGCGGAGAAAAATGAAGATTTTGTGAATGAGAAATTTGTGTAGAGATACAAGAATTGTGTTTAAAGAATGACGGGTAAGAAATTTTAAATGAATGTTTACCTAATATTTAA